ACCCCGGCGGTGGCACCCGTCACAAACACATGCAAGGGCAAGTCAATTGTACGCCTGAAAAACCCCCACAGGGACATATGGTCAAAATAGGTAATTGGTAATCGGACATCATTTTGGTAATTAGGAAATACCCTCCGTATGTCTGCAATACAACTTTTTTGAAAGCTTCGGTTTACCGAGGCCAAGAAATTGTATCCTTAATCAAACAACTCTTGTCGTATGACGCTCTTTGAAAACTTCGATTACAGAGGATGCTCGATTGTACCTCAAACATGGTGAAAAATAGACACCAAAGGATGTAGCTGCTGGAATATTGCTCGAGATAAAAGAAAGTGGATGATTGGCACGTAGAAGTCATCCCTCTTGTCAAACAGTCATCATTTTCAGCACATAACACCAGGGATGATGCGGTTATTCATGAAACAGAACGAACCTAACATGAAGTGGAGATTTATTGTTCGTTTGTTTGCTTGTTGTTTAACGCGGCATTCAGCAATATTCCAGCTGTGTGAATATAATCGAGTCTGGACCAGGCAATCTAGTGATTGTCATCATGCGCATCGATCTGGGCAACTGGGATACGATGACATGCATAAATTAAGTCAATGAGCCTGGTCACCAGATCCCGTTAGTCGCCTCTTACGACAAGCTTAGTGGCCCATGACAAGTATGGGTTGCTGAAGACCGATTCTAACCTGGGTCTTCACAGGTCTGGAGTGGGATTGGGATTGAGTGGGGAACGCATGCAAAGCAAAGGACAACGTGTGATAGAATTTATTAATCAAGTGTGTTTTCGTAACGTAAATAACTTATACCAGGAATACAAACTTATTATGCGAAGGCTGGAGCCGCAGGAATAATTATTGTTCCACATTAAGAGAAAGCTGAAGTTACCCTTCTTGTCATACTGTGGAGAGTCTGTTGGTCAATCTGAATCTAAACGTGAAACAGACGAAACAGTTGCAGTGATACACCAGAAGCACCCGAGCAAGTATCATATCAAGGGAGAGCACTCGTCACCAGATCTATGCTTCACAGGCCATGCTGCGTGTTCCGTTGCCCTGTCCTTACTGATAGAAATACGCCCATCAGCCCATCAAATATAAACATTCGCGAGTAAAAAAACATCTTCTTACTAATAAATGACCGTCAAAAGTTGTCCGTGGCAAAGAACGGTTCATATACGAAGTTCCAAAAGAAACGCAAATCTCATGTTCCAAATTCTAATCTTTACAATATCCAATATCCTTTCGTCATTTTTGGATTCACACACTGAACAATGAACATTAGGTATAAACAATCGTCGAGAGCTGGTCATAAATGAAGCTGGTATGACGGCCACACGAGTAGCGAGAGAGCTACAGGCCCACCCCACTAAGTCTACCATCTTATTGACAAACTTTGCGCAGGATTGCCCAAGGAGCGGACGCCCATGTGTTCCGTCGTTACGTAAAACAGGGTTCTCGCCCATCATCTAGGCAACTTGGATACGGTGACAGGCATAAATTGAGTAAAAACAGGGTTCTCGCCCATCATCTAGGCAACTGGGATACGATGACATGCATAAATTGAGTAAAAACAGGGTTCTCGCCCATCATCTAGGCAACTGGGATACGATGACATGCATAAATTGAGTAAAAACAGAGTTCTCGCCCATCATCTAGGCAACTGGGATACGATGACATGCATAAATTGAGTAAAAACAGGGTTCTCGCCCATCATCTAGGCAACTGGGATACGATGACATGCATAAATTGAGTAAAAACAGGGTTCTCGCCCATCATACGCCACCTTCCAGCGGTAACTTCTGCCAGACAGACAGTTGGAACCCACCACAGACCTGTGTCAGGTGCCGACGTCCAGAAAGAACGGTGTGTGTAGAGAGAACTGTTACTTTCTGTTTGTATTTGATAAAGAAGTGTTTCAATTCCGGGTCATGAAATCTATCGCGTATCTATCAGCTATGTAGAGTCATCTCCGTCGCGTTATTCATTGCCCATTTTCGTCCATTAAGGAATCTTGACCGTCACCCCCCAAACATATGCCCTAGTTGGTATCAACATTTATTCGTTCAACCATACAGGATCTTTAGTTGAATATTTCAACAATACATCCTATGATACAAAACAGTTTTGTCAAAGAAACTCCACATTTCAAATTCAGGAGTATGTGCAACGCAACGCAGATGATATATTTGTGTCAGTGTAGCATTTGAATACCACCAGTATGGCCAGCTCGTATACCAAACTGTAACGTGTGGCGTCTTGACACTTTTCATGCACCACATTTGCAATTTATCTCCCCGCACCCTTGACTATTTGGTTTGAGTAACATCCGACGGCCACGCCACACTTGTGTATAAAATCTGTTCCACACTCTCCATCTTGGTGAGTGAAGTGGGTTCTGTGGATACGCCACACTTGTGTATACAATCTGTTCCACACTCTCCATCTTGGTGAGTGAAGTGGGTTCTGTGGATACGACACACTTGTGTATACAATCTGTTCCATACTCTCCATCTTGGTGAGTGAAGTGGGTTCTGTGGATACGACACACTTGTGTATACAATCTGTTCCATACTCTCCATCTTGGTGAGTGAAGTGGGTTCTGTGGATACGACACACTTGCGTATAAAATCTGTTCCACACTCTCCATCTTGGTGAGTGAAGTGGGTTCTGTGGATTCGACACACTTGTGTATACAATCTGTTCCATACTCTCCATCTTGGTGAGTGAAGTGGGTTCTGTGGATACGACACACTTGTGTATACAATCTGTTCCATACTCTCCATCTTGTTGAGTGAAGTGGGTTCTGTGGATACGACACACTTGTGTATACAATCTGTTCCATACTCTCCATCTTGGGGAGTGAAGTGGGTTCTGTGGATACGACACACTTGTGTATACAATCTGTTCCATACTCTCCATCTTGGTGAGTGAAGTGGGTTCTGTGGATACGACACACTTGCGTATAAAATCTGTTCCACACTCTCCATCTTGGTGAGTGAAGTGGGTTCTGTGGATACGACACACTTGCGTATAAAATCTGTTCCACACTCTCCATCTTGGTGAGTGAAGTGGGTTCTGTGGATACGCCACACTTGTGTATACAATCTGTTCCACACTCTCCATCTTGGTGAGTGAAGTAGGTTCTGTGGATACGCCACACTTGTGTATACAATCTGTTCCATACTCTCCATCTTGGTGAGTGAAGTGGGTTCTGTGGATACGACACACTTGCGTATAAAATCTGTTCCACACTCTCCATCTTGGTGAGTGAAGTGGGTTCTGTGGATACGCCACACTTGTGTATACAATCTGTTCCACACTCTCCATCTTGGTGAGTGAAGTGGGTTCTGTGGATACGACACACTTGCGTATAAAATCTGTTCCACACTCTCCATCTTGGTGAGTGAAGTGGGTTCTGTGGATACGACACACTTGCGTATAAAATCTGTTCCACACTCTCCATCTTGGTGAGTGAAGTGGGTTCTGTGGCCACGCCACACTTGTGTATACAATCTGTTCCACACTCTCCATCTTGGTTAGTGAAGTGGGTTCTGTGGATACGACACACTTGCGTATAAAATCTGTTCCACACTCTCCATCTTGGTGAGTGAAGTGGGTTCTGTGGATACGCCACACTTGTGTATACAATCTGTTCCACACTCTCCATCTTGGTTAGTGAAGTGGGTTCTGTGGATACGCCACAATCGACACGTATCAAATCTGTTTCTCGACACCTGAAGCACAGATATTCCTATGCACCCTGAACAGTTCATACACTGAAAATCCATAGTTTGATTATTTGATTTAGTTTTGTCATACAAATGTTGAGGAAATCCACCAAGGCCGTCTCCACTCCGAACATAAACCTGATAAAACTGATAGTAAAATAACTCGTTCACTGGCTGATTGATGTTCTATGAAATATTGAATCCTCAATCTTAACATATTGCTTTGCTCTCCATTCAGGGAAAAACATGTATTTTCAAGTGCAGACCGAAAACTGTCCGTCTCAAACAAATTTTCCTCGCACATACACACACCTCCAGAACACCCAGGGGACAAAACGTGGTTATTTTGGGTTGAGAAAACATTTTTGGAATGTCGATATTGCACAAATACTATCGGTGCCAGTCTATAAGGTTATCCATAACCTAGCGTGCTCTACAATATCACTGAACTGGACCCTGACTCTGACCAAGTCATGACGGTGGTCAGATGGAGGTTGATTGATGCCTAGCTTGCTCTACAATATCACTGAACTGGAGCATGACTCTGACCAAGTCATGACGGTGGTCAGATGGAGGTTGATTGATGCCTAGCTTGCTCTACAATATCACTGAACTGGACCCTGACTCTGACCAAGTCATGACGGTGGTCAGATGGAGGTTGATTGATGCCTAGCATGCTCTACAATATCACTGAACTGGAGCATGACTCTGACCAAGTCATGACGGTGGTCAGATGGAGGTTGATTGATGCCTAGCTTGCTCTACAATATCACTGAACTGGAGCATGACTCTGACCAAGTCATGACGGTGGTCAGATGGAGGTTGATTGATGCCTAGCTTGCTCTACAATATCACTGAACTGGACCCTGACTCTGACCAAGTCATGACGGTGGTCAGATGGAGGTTGATTGATGCCTAGCTTGCTCTACAATATCACTGAACTGGACCCTGACTCTGACCAAGTCATGACGGTGGTCAGATGGAGGTTGATTGATGCCTAGCTTGCTCTACAATATCACTGAACTGGACCCTGACTCTGACCAAGTCATGACGGTGGTCAGATGGAGGTTGATTGATGCCTAGCTTGCTCTACAATATCACTGAACTGGACCCTGACTCTGACCAAGTCATGACGGTGGTCAGATGGAGGTTGATTGATGCCTAGCTTGCTCTACAATATCACTGAACTAGACCCGACAGTCCAGTGACTCTGACCAAACCATGACGGTGGTCAGATGGAGGTAGGTTGATGCCACGTCAAGATTTAATCGTAAACATCCTGGTTATCAAATTCCCTTTTTTCTTTTCTGGCTTTAGCTATTTTCAAAGCCAGATCTCTCCTCCCTATATGCTGCAAAGCCACCTCTATGTCCTTGATGACGTCACAGTCGTCCTTGGTTCCCCGGACACCCTGGCACCACGTCAGTAACAGCAGAAACTCCTCTGGCATGTACTGTTTGTTTGCTTCTCGCCTGGTGATAGTGATTCTGTCTGCAGACATTCCTAGATCTATCATTACTCTTTGACACACCTCCATTGTAAGTAGGGATGACAACCTCATCAGACTCTTCTGTGAAAGTAGAGGATGGCCTGGGAAACAAGGAGACAATGTATACATGATTATTTGTTTTCCAAACTAGATGCACACTTTACACTTATATCCCATAAGTTACATGGGATGTCACAATGTGCTGTGAGTGAGTGAGTTTGGTTTTACGTCACGTTTTGCAATATCTCTGCAATAACCCCACGGGCGACATCAGAATAGACTCACACACTTTACCCATGTGGAGAATCGAACCCGGCCTTTGGCGTGACGAGCGAACGCTTCAACCACTAGACTACCCCATCGCACCTCAAGTGGTCTAAAGTCATGAAGGGCATCAACACGATATTTGGTATATTTTGCCGTTACTCTGAGCTACAGGGGGCACGGGTGACCCAGTCGTCTAAGGTGCCGCGATTCGCTGTGCAGAGATGCTACCCTTGGGCACGCCAGGAACCTATGATTGTTGGTTCGAATCCCGGTTCGCCCTGATTATGTTTCTAGGTTTGTCAGCACCATACACGAGCTTGTGGGTTTCACCGAAGTGGTAAACGTCTGAGACCTGCATCACTTCGGCCTTTCCTCCCACATTAAGCTTACACGCCGCGATATAACTGGAATACTGTTAAAAGCGGCGTTAAACCCAACTCACTCACTCACTCTGAGCTACAAAGATGTAATCTGCAATACTGCATTGGGAAATAATAGCATATTGATCCCATGCCAAGGTTTGAATAATTATAAAAAGCTAATTTAATGTCAAATAATCTGATATGGTATAAATTAAAAGGACAATGAAGGTTTGTTTGTTGTTTAACGCCGCATTCAGCAATATTTCAGCTCTAAGACGCACCTCTGTAAACAATGAAGCCCGAACCAGACAATCCAGTGATTGATATCAAGAGCAACGAGATCCACGCCGTGGGGGTACAATGGCCTGCAATCGAGGAATACATCGGCCATGACCACCCTATTAGCTACTGGCTATTAGGTATTAATTTAACATGTTACACATCATGGATCAACGCGATTTGGATACGATGACATACAATCAACCAAGTCACCAAGCCTGACCCCCGGATCCATTTAGTCGCCTCTTAAGCATAGGTTGCTGGGGACCAAGCTCCTTCCCAGCGCGTGACACCTTCGTTACACTCTCGGTAACATCGCTGCCACCAGTGTGGGCGCGGCCATTACAAAATTCTTGAACTTTGCCCTCTAACCCCATATGTAGTAACGTTTTTACTTTTGTTTATGTCTTTGGGAATGCGATCATAGTTCATTTTGAACTGTTGAATTTACATTGTTGTTTTAATAATCAGAGTGGTTCGAGATTGCAGACTAACGGACAATCAACCAGCTTTTCCCTTACATTCTTACTATATCAATTAAAGTTGATAGTTTTAATGATATAGAAATTCAAATTGACAAACAAAGAAAGTAATTTATCAGCGCTATGTGTATTCGGCGTCACGACAGTCGTCACTTGATTGTAAACACAACGGTCATTTGGTTGCGAGTTCAACTCCAAGCATGGTTGGGGACACCTATCACAGTGGGGAGTTTTGACTGGTGGCAGCTATAGTATAGAGAGCTCCGGGAACGGACTATCGCTGTGAGGAGCTTGGCTGGGGACCTGTATTCAAACCCGGAATCCCGAGGATGGAACCATAATGAGATAAGAATATTTCATGTTGTGTATGATACGCTTTTACATAGTTACAGGGTATGTGTAATGTGGAATGATGAGTGAGTGAGTGAGTTGGGCTTAACTCCGCTTTTAACGGTATTCCAGTTATATCGCGGCGTGTCAGTTTAATGTGGGAGAAAAGCCCGAAGTGATGCAGGTGTCAGACGTTTGGCACTTCGGTGAAACCCACGAGCACGGGTATGGTGCTGACAAACCTAGAAACATAATTGGGGCGAACCGGGATTCGAACCAACAATCATAGGTTTTTGGTGTGCCCAAGGGGCTCTGCACAGGGAATCGCGGCGCCTTAGACGACTGGGCCACCCGTGTACCGAGGAAAGATGAAATACATATTATCCACATGCTTCCGTTGGACGACACAGGTAGAAAGGCCGTATGCGAAAATAGTTCCCCCACAGCGTGACCTATTGTATGATAAGCCATACGTCAATAAGTGAGGGTTCTGAGTGAGTGAGTGAGTGAGTGAGTGAGTGAGTTGGGTTCAACGCCGCTATGAAGAGTATTCCAGCGATATCACGGCGTGTCAGCTTGGTGTGGGAGGAAAGCCCGAAGTAATGCAGGTCTCAGACGTTTACCACTTCGGTGAAAGCCACGAGCACGGGTATGGTGCTGACAAACCTAGAAACATAATCAGGGCGAACCGGGATCTATTACATGAGTCTGGTGTGCTTCGAAACGACTTAAGAAAAGTTCGCCCTATACATGTATATATATTCACGTAACACAGACACAATCTATTGTTTGTTTGTTCCCATTACACATACGATGACATTGTATGATACGGTATCATGTTATATCCCGAGTACTATGACAAGTGTTGGTTCATAAGCTTGCATTACATGACTTAATTTTAAACATTGTGTTAGTATATGTCTTATTTTACCTTATCCAGATCATGACGTTATAATTTACTTTTATGTCTAAGTGTCTCGTAGGCCATACTTGGTCGGATGTTATATTTTACTGTTCGTGTACGTGTTTTAGTATGAAGTGAATATAACATGTGACACTATAATAAACATTATTCATTCTCTCTCTCTCTCTCTCTCTCTCTCTCTCTCTCTCTCTCTCTCTCTCTCTATATATATATATATATATATATATATATATCCCTAGTACTATGACATGTGGTGGTTCATAAGCTGCATTACATGTCCATATCACATCAAATTATTTCAAAGTTACTCTATATCACGATTTCAAATAATCTCCCTAACTTTAACAATAGATTGTGGACCCGTGAAGATCCGGGGTAGAAAAGGTCTTCAACAACCCATGCTTGCCGTCAAAGGCGACTATGCTTGTCGTACAAGGCGACTAACGGGATCGGGTGGTCAGGCTCGCTGACTTGTTTGATGCATGTCATCGCTTCCCAATTGCGTGGATCGATGCTCATGACGTCAAACACTGGATTATCTTGTCCAGACTCGATTATTTACAGACCGCCCTCATATGGCTGGAATATTGCTGAGTGCGGCGTTAAACTAACAAACAACAGTAAAGACGGAATCTTAAAGTGTGAATGATCGTGAAATAACATTCGTGTGGTAATAACACTGGTAATAACGTGTGGTAATAACAATTTCGTACGAAATTAGTGCCAGATTAATTTATCAACACACAGACTTAAAGTCGTTTCGAAGCACACACTCATGTAATTATCTGAACGTATGGCTGAAATCTTCGATACCCTCGCGTTATGACGCTCGGCTTATCGTACACGAGGTCACGCTGCGTGAAAACTACTTTGGCATTCTGCCAGAATGTACCCCGCGTTTGTCCCTTGCTTTTTACACACGATGGAAGAACGACATAGCAGTATTACTGGAACTACAGTATTATGTAACACAGCTGAAGCATAACAACAACATAAACAACAACAACGACGACGACACAACAAATTAGTCACCTACCCATAGTCTACTTGCTATAATCTGTATCTGTGCTCAAACGGACCCCACTTCCTGGTGACCATGCTGCTCGAACACGTGACAACAACACATGGTTGCTAAGATACATTGTCAACAGTCACTCACATTTAGTGAGTGAAGCGTGAACGTTACTTTCTGCAGGACCGGCCATTCTGGTAGCGTTATACATTAGTTTGAAAACGTATTATGTTTCAACTGTATGTATTCTGTCATGCATGGGGTGTAGGAAGAAGATATTAATGTGTGCACCAGTAAAGTATAAGAGACGTAATATCCTGAAATGTGAAATCCCACTTAAATGTGAAATCCCACTTAAATGTAAAATCCCACTTAAATGTAAAATCCCACTTAAATGTGAAATAGACCCGTGAAGATCCGGGGTAGAATAGCCGTAAAAGCCGACTATGCTTGTCGTAAAAGGCCTAACGGGTTGTCAGACTCGCTGACCTGGTTGGTGAATGTAATCGATCCCAATTGCGTGGATCGATGTTCATGATGTCAATCACTGGATAGTCTGGTCCAGACTCGGTTATTTACAGACCGCCGTCATATGGTTGGAATATTGCTGAGTGCGGCGTTAAACAACAAACAAACAACAAAACATAAATATGAAATTCGCACTGAAAAATGTAGGTTTGTGAAAAAATATTAGTAATACCATCAAAGTTATGGACAGAAAGATAGGCAGGGACTTTACATGTTATAAATGAGATGAAATGGTGTTTAACGTCGCGTCCAAGATTATTGCACTTGTATTGCGAGTGCGTGGGTGTGGCAGCTTGTACTAGTCCGAACTATAGCCGATTTTATAGAGCTAGCCCACAGAGAGGCCATATGCTTGCCCTACGAGTAGACTACAGTAAATTGTGTACCCTATCTGATAGCGGATCCTTGACCCGGACAGCGAAGATAACTGCTCAAGTCTTCAATCTCTAAGTTGTCAGGATGAGGTTCACCTGTCTACTAATCTTCCTATAGTTGAGATCGCCTCCGTGGTCTAGTGGTAGAGCGTCTGCCCGGAGAGCGGAAGGTCCGGGGTTCGATCCCCGGCCGCGTCATACCAAAAGACGTTAAAAGATGGTACTTGTTATTACCCTGTCTGGGGCTCGGCATTAAGGGGCTAAAACAAGGACTGGTCGGCTCGAGTCAGTATACTGTGTCTGAGTGGGGTATTCATGTTAAACTGCGGCATGCTATCTCAGTGTGCTAGCACTATAAATCGGCATCAGTCCGGACTAGTACAAGCAGCCACACAAACACACACACGTACATGCACGTCGCTATATAAGTGCAATAATCTTGGACGCGACGTTAAACCCCATTTCACCTCACCTCACCTCCTATAGTTGATATACACGGTTAACTGTGACCTGAAGCACTCTGTAAAATCGAACCCGGGCTTCACATTAAAGTGCCAATTCCCTCCCCCTGATTTACCAATCTGAACTAGAAATTAAGGAGACCAGTGACACCGTTTGTCTGTTTCATATTTAGATCTAAGCAGAAAGATTCATTGTGACAAAACACTCCTCGCAAGGCTGTATGACAAGAGGGACGAGTTCAACTTCCCAATAGTCAGATTTCCCTTAATGTCAAGCAATATTCCTGCAGCTCCAGCCCTTAGTGTCTACATTTCACAACTTTGGAAATACACTCGGCAATCTTTCTACCAAGATTTCAAAGAGTGTCATACAACTCCTTGCTCAGAGATTGTTTGAAAATGTTTTATCGAGGAAATTTCCAAATTTGACGCATCAGTGACAAAAATGATGTCCGATGCAATTCTCTATTTTCCCTTGTTCCATATGTTTAACGTGAACAATTGACTTGCCTTTGCATGTGTTTGTGACGGGTGCCACCGGTTGGGCAGGATACGTTCACCTTTCGCGAACACCTGGTATTATCACAATTTGATAGTGATTCTTAAACACATACTCATGACAGAGTGACATACGATGGAGATTTCCTATGAATATGGAAAGGGTATTTGTCGAGACTATTTTGTATATTCCTGCCTGTTTGCCAGCTAATCCCTTCATTGTGTCTCCTCTCTGAGAAACATCTGTAATACAACGAGTCTAGAGAAGTGGCCTACGTGTCACAATTATATATTTGTCGAACGTGCAATGTTATTATTCCGACGAGAAATACAAAATGATGCCCTAGAAACTCGAAACTCACCCAAGTACTCAGTCCGAAATCTTTAAAGTGAAGGAAACCCTCGTGGTTATCTTGTTCCACAGCTTGAATATTGTTTATATGTATCATATGTTAGAAATGTTAAGCCTGAACTATTTTTGAAGTTAAATCTATTACCTTCACGTACTAGAATACTGTTAAAAGCGGCGTTAAACACAACTCACTCACTGTCACTCACTCTATTTCTAATATATACAGCCCGTAAAAAGTATCGCACCACGAAGCGTAATTGCAAGGTCATTTTCAATGTAGAGATTTGCAAATGGTACACTGTCACATCAGCTGGCGGTAGAATTGGCCAGCTTCCCAACCTTGTGGGTGCTTTTATGCCGTATGCACACAAAAAGGGTCTCCATGGAGAAATGTTAGTTTGATGACAGAGGGTCCATGCGTCTTTACTGCTATTAATTATGATGAAAGTTTTACTAATTTGAACGGCTGCAGGATTAAGGGCTAGAAGACCAGTAAGGCGTCCACCTCTCTCATCCCTACACATGCGGGACCGTTTAGCCTGGTGTCAGGCTCAAGCACATAGGAACTTGAGGTCATGGTGGAGGATTCATTCGTCTGCGGAAAGTCGGTTTTTATTGCACCACACTGATGACAGCGCTCGTGTCTGGAGGCAAAGAGGAACATCTGATCATCAGCGCAACATCCAGGAAGCAGTGGCATGGGGTGGCTGCTCAGTGGTGGTATGGTATTACGTTAAATGTACTGAGTATTTAAATGTAAACACTATCAAAGATCTTTCAAACAATGTTAACTCTCAATTAATAGTCGGTTTGAAAAGAAATTGAACGTATTGATAAATTTAAACTCACTCACTCTATACGGAGTACATAAACCGTGTTAACGAGAAGTTCTTCCTCAAATTTGCAGTCCATCAGTGGGTTCACAACACTTTACTCGAGTTCTTAATATATATAACTACATAGTAGCACTACAGACAGTAGGCGTCAGAGAGCCAACCTGCCAAGTTGCTGTCCGAGGGCCAAGTCCCGACTCTCACAAAGCATTCTAACTTTAACCAGTCAAATCACTGACCAGCTGCAGTATCTCGCACCTCATTCACAATGTTATCTTCTTTGGCCAACCGGCCATTCTCTAGTGTCAATTACTGATCCGCACATGACTCCGTGCTGCTGGCCATGGTAATAATAGACCAGCTGCTGTTATAATTTGTATTGGACAGCACTGTGAATATTGATATAGATACATTTAACTTGCTTAACTCTATAAAACCTATACCCTGCCAAAGTGCCTACGACACATGTGATACAATATGTGATGTGAAAATAACTTAAATTTACAAGGATCGCTGCATTGATTGCCGACAAGATCTCTGCTTTCACGACTTCTTTGTACCTGAAATTATTTAAATATCAAAGAAGCAAAAATATTTTTTTTTATGGATACAAAATGTTTCGTTTTTACTTTTTACCAAAAGAGCCTCTTCTACCTATTTGGAAATGTATTTTCATGTAATAAAATTTATTATATCAAATTCAAGATATAAATTGCAAAATACATCGTTTATTTGAATGACAAGTGAAACATTCCACACAATGGTGATATTGTCTTTGAAAACTCGACCGCCTCCGTGGTCTAGTGGTAAGAGCTTCTGCCCGGAGAGCGAAAGGTTGATGGTTCGATAGCATGTCGCGTAACCCCAACAGACGTTAAAAGATGGTATTTGTTTCCCTCTCTGGCGCTTGGAAATAAGGTCCTAAAACAAGTACTGGTCAGTTCGGAGCCGGTATTCGGTGTCTGAGTGAGGCATAACTGTGGCATGATATCACAGTGGACAAGCGTTAGCAGACAAACAAACACACACAAACACACGCACGCACGCACGCACGCACGCACGCACGCACGCACGAACGAACGAACGAACGACGCACGCACGCAAACAAACAAACAAACAGACAAACACTCACAATGTTGATAAACCCTATATATAAGTGCAATAATATTGAACGCAAAATTGAACCGTCTGGTATATGAAAATTATTCCCAAGTTGAATCTCCATTGATGCGATATTATTTATATGTTTACTGGACATATCAAAGTTCAAATATTCGTGTGTTGGAAACAGATTTGAAACCTCTGATTGACGAATCAGAATCGAATATCTACATATAATTTAGGGAAAATTTAGGGAATCAAACACAGATATAAATGCCTAACCCCCCTCATGCTTATTGACTGGAGAGTGTATGCAACAGTGTTGTTATATGTCACATCAACTGCGCCGACAATAGGAGAGCCATGGCCACCGTAGTAGATGGTGCCTCTGTACAGTATCATGTTGTGGGGGGTAGCGTCCAGTGTGGTCACCTCTGTACTCACATTATTGGACACGGTCATCTTCATCAGTTTCTTCTCATTGTTATAATACAACACACCAGCTGTCTGATCTAGGGTTACAGCATACATGCTACTTCCTGTGGCTAATGTCGCCAGACCTTGACCATCATATGTCACTGTGAACAGTTTCCCGCTATTACATCCATATATCCTCTTTCTCCTTGTGTCAAGAGTTAGTTGCCTTGGAGCGCCTCCGTACTTGGATAAGTAAATGATGGCAGTGAAGTCTTTCCCCTGTATAGACATACGGCTGATTGAGTATCGTGGTACATTTGTGGATATGAATACAATGTCCCGCCCTTCATCCACTGCCATGCCTAATGCCCGTACACCTGCTCTTAGAACTGTCACGTGACTTGTATCCAGGGTAGATCCTAGTATCCTATCCGGAGCATATGACCCCATCAGAAGTTTCCTTGTCTTTTCTATATAGGCAACAGATGCCATCCTCTTCATGGTGTGATACTGATGGACACTGAGGGAGTAACTG